GACTAACACAAACTCATCCACCTAAAGAAGCAATGAGATTCAGATACCTAGGCATCACCCCCTCTCTCAGGTTTCCACCTCCCTGCTTCAGCTTTCGCCATAAGGCACTTATAGAAACTTTCTAAATGTCTCCTTTATCTATAGGGAGTGGTCCGTGACAACCAAGTTTGTACTACTTCCTCCTGTACAGATAATCTGAAATAGATCTTACACACAACCTAAGTTTGGCTAATAAGATTAAAGCTTCCAAGAAGTTCAAATTGAGACTTTTAAAACAAAGTTAGTTTTGACAGGTGTCTTAAACAAAGAATAGCTAAACCCTAGAAATGGAGACAATCTGCTACCCTGTGAACCTAGAAGAGAAAACCAATATAAAGAGAAACAGATAAAGCAGACAGACAGACAGACAGAGATGCTTTTTTTTCCTTATAGGTTTTTATTTCTTAGGACGAGTTCTTTCTTTATACTCATTTCTATTCTGCTATGGGGTTTCCTGATGCACATTCACAAATTCCTCATTTTAGCTGAATTAAGCAAGTTTTAGTTGACTTCTCAAGTTGGTTGGCTATATACAATCAAACAATTCCAATTAACATGCCACTGTGCTTGACCTGCCCTGACATGAGTTCAACTACAGGGCAAGGGAGTAGGGAGATAGCTCTGAAATTCTATCCAACACTTTCTTTATGATAAATACGGTTCTCATAGTAATAGAAACACCTTTGATTCTATACAAGATGTACAGAATTAATATTGTATTGCCTATAGATCAGTCTGGAGTAAGGAATTGACAAGTTCCTAAAATATCTGACTTCCTTTTCTCTCTATTTTTGGATAAATCTTAGGGTTTAAAAATTATAGAAATAACATTTTGTTCAGATAGCAGCAATAACAGTAACCCTAAAAAGAAAATCTGTTTCCCTCTGGCTTCCCAAGCAGATAGAAGATGTTAAGAAAACCTGCAAGGGAAACATCAGTGATTCTGGATGCACTGTGATTCAGAATGTGCTTAAAATACAGATGCAGAAGATGGTTCAGGTACCTTTTCTCAGTGACTTAAAAAAATCAGTTTCAGTGATTGCATTCAATTAAACCACCATTGTAGCTTATGTCTTTGATGCCAATTAGTACTCTACAGTTCAGCAGTTTGACTGAATCCAGCTTTAGTTATTTTTTATGAAATAATTTTGGCCTGAAATACTAGTTGTTTATCACTCTAAATTTGAATATATTCTTTGCTTTGTCAATTAGATGATACACTGGAAGAAGCACAATCTTTTAAATATCTTTAAACCATTGCTTAAGTAAGCATACCACACACCTGGTTACAATGTGAGCAAGATTAAATTTTAACAAACCAACAGTTCTCTTTAATTTTATACCAATCATCTGATGAGCTTCCAGTGCCTGGCTACTTCACCTCCTGCTCCTATAAACTGGAAGCAGAATCTTCCTCCACACCGATAACATGGTTTTACTATCTCAAACTAAAAAGGAGCATACAAAGAAATGTATCCTGGTATCTAATTATGTCAAAAAGAACTAATTTAACAACAATTTTATCTATACAAAAATTATACTTTGGGATAGCCACTATTCAATTTTAAATGGGCATTACTAAGTAATTCCATCAAATGGGTCAATTTTTTTAATTCCTTGAGAGTACATTTTGTAGTTCACTGATCCTGGCAGACAATCGAGAAGGCCACACTGTACAAACGTGGCAGTTGTCTTATAAAGCTCATTATTTGACAACTGGCAATAGCTAGGCTAAAAACCTTCTAATATATACTATTTTTTGTTATGTACAATAAGCAGCTCTGGTTCTAGTCAAGCACATCTGGGTTCTTCAGAAAATTAAAAATTGGTCCTGGGCAAACCTTGTTTTGGCCAATGTCTTCCTTGCACTTTTGGTGTTAGGGAGATGGGACAGCTGTCCCACCAGGTGAGAACACTGACTATCACCAACATAACCAACTCATCTGGTTTCCAATTAACAACATAACATAGCTGTTTTCTAGGTTCCTAACAGCTAACAAAAGCTCCAAAACTCTACTTCCACCTGCTATTAATACCCTGAGAAGAGCAATGATATGTATGTAAGTCTGTAGATTGTATGTGTGCTTCATAGAGCCACTGGGACTCTTCAAGGTACTTCCGAGACCAGTAAGCAAGACTAAGGAAGTGGACCAGCCAGGGCTATGCCAATCCCTTCAAGCCAACAGCTCTTGTTTTTTAACAGATTGAAATGTTAGATTTCTGAGTAGGATATTTTTGAAGATAGAGTCTTAAAACTAGAGTATAAGGGAGATGTTCTTCATTTATTCTTCAGAGTATGGTACATCCCCATATCATCAGGGCTCCGAAGAGTTATAAATCTAAATCAAGGATGATTCTCTTCCTCCTCGAAAACATCCTTAATGAAATATACTTTCGGTGTTATGAGAGTTACATCATTTTTTAACTTTGATTGCGGGTACAAATGCAAAACAGCCAGAGAAGACTTCTGCTTTTGCTGTAAAATTTTGTTAAATAACATTGCTCATTTGGCTGTCAAAGTAGCATATGACACCTTTCTTTTGGAAATAATTTCCAAGAAAATTTGTTCTCTCTTGAAGAATAGGTAGGCTTGCTTCTATCATATAATGAAAATTATAAATCACATTGTCGGTCCCTTTATGCTTTGATTGCTTAAGAAGCTCAAAGTTAATGATTTCATGTTTTATTCTGCTTACCATATTTGTTTCTTCCTCCTTTAGTAGTTTTGATGGTGTACTTCTATTTGAACAGCTCTGTGTGTCATTTTTCTCATAAACAGAATGAACATTAATAGATAAGTCAATAATAAAATTAAAATGTGATGAATATCCTGGAAATTACTGAAAATCAACAGAATTATGTATTCTATGATCATTTGTTTATCTTCAGGTCTCTTATCCTGTATTATCAGCTACTGGAACACAATCAAGTCTCAAGCCCAGCAAAATCAATCTCCAAAGAGCTCAAAGAAATTGTCTTTTAAGTTCATATACTAAGATTTATTTATTTTCCATAACCCTCATCTGAGATATACGTAACCTTGTATTAGACACAGTTCTATTATGCTCCAATAGGTTCTTGTTGCTTTCAAGATGAAGAATAAACCTTAATAATGGCCTATAAGACCTCACATGGTCTACACGGCCCAGCCTATTGCTCTACCCTTATCTGAGACACCTACTCCCTTCAGATTTCATCTGCTCCTAAATCCCTATATTAGGGAAATGTCCACTATTATAAACTCTAAAACCAGAATATCTCCCTTTTCAGCACTCATTGCAGATTACATAATTATATTTTTGTTTGCTTATTTGATTAATACCTAAGTTCTCCAGGAAACTCTAAGTGCCATGAACGTTTTGTCTATTGTCCCCAGTAATGTATCATCGGCACCTGTCCTAAAAACAAGCACAGCAACAGCATCAGAAACACTTTGATAATGAGAAAAAAAAAATCCACTGTAAAAAGTGGACAGAGCTCAAAGATCATTCATTGGAGTCTAGAGGCAAATCCTCTTAATAGCCATTACATTAAGATATTCTTTAACCGTCTTTAATAGGATCATTATATTACAGGATGGTGTAATAATTATAATAATTGATGTCATCAAGGAAGGGTTAGGTTTTGATCTATGGTTAAGATGAAAGACAAATGCCTTTAAAATGCTTTCTTTAGTGCTTCTTTAAAAGACTTCCCTGTCTTCGGAGGTGAGCTTCAGTTCTATGGAAACTTCACTTATCTGCGTTATTCTTCCCACCTCTTAACTAGCAATACTAGATAAAGGAAGAGTTCCCCAACCTCAGGTTATCGTAAACAACCTTGTATTGACACATTCCTCTTTTGGTCAATTTCATAATTGCATAAAAATTATTTTCAAACTCCCGTTAGTATTCATATTCCCAACAAAAGGATTAATGTTATGTAATGCTTCACAAATATTCTGCCACAGACAATGTGTGTTGAATTTAAACCAAATTCTGTCTTAGGTTGCCTTTAAAGGAAAAATGCAAAAAATGCAAAAAAAAAAAAAGAAAAGAAAAAAAGAAGTTTCCACTTGAATTCTAAATTGAAGATGACCTTGTGCTTTTCTGAGAAACGCTGGCAGCTGAGGTCACTGGAGTGTGTTATGATAGACGGTGCAGTGCTGTGTGTGTCTCAAGGCATGTCCATTGTATGGATTAAAGCCAAACCAAAAGTATTAGGCAGCTCAGAGCATTCTATCATTTCATTTGAAAATAATGATCAAAGTCGTGGGCAACAACCATTGCAACTCTCATGAAAGAATGGCAGCATTCAATAATTCCATCACTTCAGACAGACAGTTGGGCTATTCTCAATCAAATACTATGAATCCAGTATATTTTGTGTCACTTTCTTGTGGCAATCACAGAAACAACATTTCTGCTTTTACAGTATAAAAATCCTGTCTACATTGTGTGCATCCCTTAGCTTCCAAATGACTGAGTCATTGAGAAAAATACAAGGAAATGGAAAACACAGAAACTGAACCCTCTTTGAGTATAAATATATAGCAACCCAAATCAGCCATTTTCTTCAAGTCAGCTTACTGTTTCAAAAGCTTAAAATCCATTTCGAAACAAAATGTCTACAATCTCTTCTCTAATAACAGCATGAACAAAACACTTTCAAAGAAATATAATCTAGTGCCAATGGTTTTCAAGCCTTCTAAGTGATCTCTTCAATAGTGATATTTAACTAGAACATTTTGATTGATAGAGGCTTATTTTAAACTTTTGCTTCCTTCACGCATAGATTAATGGTAGCATAAAAATATGTTTGAGATGTAAAAGCAGGTGGAAAAACTCACACTTACGATCAAAGAAGGGAACTGCTTCTAATCCTATGTTTTCCACTCTGCCTGGGTATCTTCTATATATAGGAGGAAAAACATACCCTGTTGCTTTTGAAGTATTTAGACACACACACACGTTGTAACTTACCATTAAAATTTACAGCCCGAATATAACCAAGTAGCTCTTTCCCATCAATGGTACTCATTCGTGGACAAAGGCCAATGTATCCAGGGCAGAGATCTTTGTGCATATTGTGCAGGGCGTAAGCCATGGAATATACTGCATCAATTACAAATTGGACCTTTCCTTCCTGTTCATAAGATGAATCCCGAGCAATTCGCTCCAGCCCTGCAAAATAAAAAAGTAAAAACCATCAGTTGACGTTAGATTCCAAGAAAAGACGGCATTAGAGCTAAGATTTCCATCATTTGAGGACACTTAACGAGACACAACTATTTGATTTCACTTCTGATTAATTCTATACTTACTGAGTCAGGTTTTTAAACTGGATATTGAGTTTATTTGGAAAGAGTAAAACTATTTCATTAGCAACAAAAAGATATAAAGTAAATAAAAGATGTATAGTTTCATTATCATTATTTCCACCTTATTGAGTCCTATGATACTGTGCATTCTAGTAATTACATAACGCTTTGGTAGTGGCTTGATCTTTTATGTAAAATGTGTAGTGTGTCATTCTTGCCATCTATCTCAGCTCCAGGAGTGTCATTTAATTAGTGGCCCAAAGCAAGGTCTTTCACCACCCACCAAATCAGTTATAATTTTTAATGTGCTCTATTTGCGAGCCTTTTTGTAACTATTATATGACAATACTCCCTTAAGTGACCCTAGTTATCTTTATAATAATCATTCAATTTGTTTTCTCTTTGAACTCAATTTTCTATTTAGAATTTCTATTAAAAAGATGCAGACACCTCAAAATGAATGTCACTCAGAATAAATGTACCTGTATTGGGGCATATTTAGGGCTGATAATTGGCACTGGAGATTACTTTTAGGTTGGTGTTTATAATTTAATATGGAATAGATATATATTTTAAATGAAATATAAATGAGAGCTCAACTATGATCCAACATCGTTTTGAAAGCGAGGAAACTGAGACTCATGGAGGTTATAATTACATGGGGTAAATAGGGCAGGTTTGGGACGCATTCGTAGGTCTCAGACTGCAAGTCCAATATTCTCTCAATCCCCAGAAAAGTTTGGTAGATGGCAAGAATGCTGGGCATGCAAGAAAAAATTATGAAAGGGACATCAAGAGTTTATTAAGGGAACAAAAAATGATCTCCTATCATTTCTACATCCATCACCAACCCTTACACAACTGGTAACACTTAGACAAAAGCAAGCATTTTAAACTTTCCATGGATGTTACTAACCTTGAATAAATTGTACTTATGTTCAACACATATTTGTTTTCTAAACACCAATGCATATAACCTATATATTTAGAGAGTTGAATTAAAGTGGTTTATATTTGGATATTTACACTCTGAAAAACTTGTGGCTTTTTTCCTAAACAAAAATAGTGGTCAGTTTATTTTTATTCATCCAATTATTGTTTTTGTTTTTCCTTTGGTCTTAATCACTTGTGACACTGTTCTTTTAGATGCTCTTGGTTGGTATTCTGGTCTCTGTGGTCTGTCATGATGCTGAATTCTGCTCCTCCCTGTTTGGCATGTGTTTTCTGATTTTCTCATGTCTCAACTTTTCATTCTCCAAGGCTGAGTTTCTTCATCCCCAACCTCAGAATCTGCTCATTGTCAATTTTGTCAACTACTAAAATTTCTACAGTCTAGAAATATAAATGGGAATATAAAATGTTGGCTACAGAGTCCAGAACATTAGATCAATTTTTAATAATTAGTTTAATTCATTTTGGAAGTTAGCTTTTTGGAAAATTAGTTTTCTAACTCTTTCTTGCTGTCTAAGTGTATAGTCCCATATTTTCAATGGCCTACCATATCTCTCTCTATGTAGTCTGCTGCTTCCGTATCAAACAATATATGTAAAACGAGGCTATCTCTGTAGGGGATTCCCTAAAATATCCTACTGATATCTTGCAAGTTTGCGAGCACAAAGAGACAGGGAAGACTACTTCTCAAAAGGCATATTGTCTCCTTCAACCTACCTTAGCTGCATGATCTAAGCTAAGATCCACAAGACATGGGGACTATGTTCTCTCCATATGTCTAGGTTATACTTTTGTCTCCTGAGTCTTAGAACAACACTGCTTGTTCCCAGAATCTCTCATCAAGTTTCCTGTGAAAACAACCCTTTCCACTTCTGCCTAAAATTTCTCTCCCATGGCTTTAACCACGAAGTAGAGCATTCATAAATAAATATTGAAAGATGGTTACAGCAACCAAATAGATGCTGTTATTTCCTTATAGATTCTAGTCTGGTGACTAGCCACTCTTGTTAGTCCAGGACTGAGGGGTTCTCAGGACCTAGGACCAAAATGTGAAAAGCCCTGGAAAAACCAGGATAGTTGCTTATGGAAAAAGAGGGAAATGACGAGGAAATTTCAGAGAGAAGACTAAATAACAACTTTGAGGATCAGTCCCTAGGTCTGGATGGATATCCCTGTGTTTCATTTATTTTTTATCACTGCACTTGAAACCAGAAAATGAAGACAATGAGGTTCAGGGCAGTTGTTTCCACACTTGGTTCTCTCCTTAAGTACAGATTTCTCAGTACCACCCCGGACTTGCTGGGTCAGAATCTTCCTACCTGGGACATAAAGGATCTGTCATGTCAACAACTCACCAGGAGATTCTGGTGCAACCAGCTAAGTCTGTGGGCCAGCTTTAGGAAATTTCTGCTCTTCCATACAACAATCTTCAAAAATACCTCTATAGATCTATTGTTTAGAGAATTTTATGGTATTGAAGTATGAAAATAATAATTCTTTCATGATATGCACAACCCAAAGAAAATCTAATCAAATTATTTCCCTTTTCTCACTAGATGAAGAGTCAAAGAACACAATTCCCAATATTTATGCATTTCAAAGCTTCCACCATGTCCTCAGACACACAGGGAGGCCTGGAGCTGATGACAAGAGTAGAAGCCAGAAAGACACGAAAGATCTGTAAATGAGAAAGTGTAACGAATTGAATGTGTTCCTCATGAGAGGGTGGAAACAGAAAATAGAAAGCAGTAGGGAGAAAAAGATACAGAGAGGAGGGAAAGGAGGATGGAGCAACACAGAGAAAGGCTTGCACCCAAGGTACAATAATGGCAGAGGGAAATCTAACATTCCAGGTTGTTTGTATTGCTGCTTTGTAAATCCCTCTGCTGCAGACATACATACACACACACATACACACATACACACACACACACACACCCCTCACACACCTCTTCTGTAAATATTATTGGCCTTTAATCTATTTTTTTTAATTTTGTGGGCTTTAAAGAAAAGGGAGGATTTCCATATTTCCATTACTGCAGGGTGAAGGGTGGAGAGTGGGCATAGAACTGGCAGAAAATGCCTAAGCCAAATGGCTTCAAATGAAGTAATGACCACAAGAACATTAAGGAATTTGGAATTTTTTTTAAACCTATGAAATTCATGTAACAGCTAGACATGTGTGACAGTTTCATAGTTTTAAACTTAATCTATCCTATTATCATTTTATTTTAGTGCCAGTGTAACCTCAATATATTATTTTACTTTATTTTACATATTATCAATTTAATATATTATCATTGTATTTTAATGCCAGTGCAACCTCCCTGTCAATCCATAGAGATACTCCTCAGTGTTCAAGAATTTCCTGATAAATTGTAATTGACATGCTCCAATTTAATAGATACACTCTTCCTCAGCATTTCTTAAAGAATAAACAGTCTGGTGTGGTGGCTCACAGCTGTAGGAGGATTGCTTGATGTCAGGAGTTCAAGACCAGCCTGGGCAGCATAGTGAGACCCTGTCCCTACCAAAAAATCAAACTAAAAATTCAACTTTATATACAATAGGTCTAAATGAATAATCAGATACACATAATCTTATTAAAGAAACATATTTAAATTTTCACGATTCAAATCATTTTTTCTAGTTATAAACTCCAATTATTTTGACTGTTGATTACATATATTCCAACTTTGTACTTTTTTGTTCTTTTAAAGTAAGAGTTCAGAAGTCTGCCTAGTAACTGGTACCACATGTGAATCAATGAACACTGTAAAACTCTCCCCATAAATCAATGTAAGCATGTGGTGACAAACTGAAAGACTGAACACTATTACCATTTCTAAACTTAAAAGTGAATCATTTGATTTCTTTTCAGGCTGTTTAGACAACGTATTTTTCTGTTCCTTAACACTTCAACCTCATGATGACACTTAAGATTTTACAGCAGCTAGAATTTGCTCCTCACTTCCTATATTTGATTCTCTCATTCATCTAAAAGGGGAGTTTAGGAAGCTGACAGTGACTCATCAACCTAATTGGCTGTAAAATTTCATTATGCTATAGTTTCTAAAGTTAGTGTTAACGTATTGCTATAAAGTGCTAAATATTGTCAAAGGCTGTATGTCAGCTAACCATTTTAAATATCACCGATTGTAGAGTTGTGATGTGTTCTAGTGTATAGCTCAAAATTAACAGCATAGAGCAAAGTGTTTGCATGGTGAGACAGGAATTCAGCCTCCTAAATTTTATAGGAAGATTGTTTTACATCTTCATTAATGAAATCTAAATCTTGTGATTAGATCTCAGGTTCCCAGAAAATAATAAATTTTTACTCCTCTAAGAAATAAGCACACGTACTTTAGTTAAGGCCTTTCACACTTTGTGGTGTATATTCTTGGGTTTTGTTCCTTTTCAGTAAAAAAAAAAAAAAAGGCAAATTGGCTTAAGTTGGCAAAACATTGTATATGTTACAATGTAAGTTCCTAAGATGAGTCTAAGAGAAATTTCAGACTCTTTGATGCATTGTGGTTGCAAAGCATTGCTTTCTAAGAATTTCCCATTTCTCAGGATAGAGTTCAGTTTTCTAAGCTAAAATGTCAGAGGGCTAATTTAATTGTCCTGAAATTAGGCATATAAAACTTCTAACACCAATGCAATGATAGTCCAATAAGCAGTTGGTCAATCCAAGTAAAAAACAAATGGAAGTCATACCAGTTGCTTAATTCCTGGGAAATCAAACATCTGATTTGTTGCCTTTTTCTTACAACCATCTCAGCTTGGAGTATAAATAATCCAACAATCTAAATTTGTAGATTAAGAAGTATTTGTTAAAGTTTCTCCCTGAATTTTTCTGAATTATGAAGCAACTATTTTAAATAATTAAGTCAGTTTCTTGGAGTTGCTGCA